GGCCCGGCCCGGCCCGGCCCAGCTCGCAGGCGTGCCGCTTCACCGCCGGGTCCGATCCGGGACAAACCTCCCGATTTCTGTCCGGCTGCGCTAGAGCCAGGCTGGGCTGCAATGAAATCTCTTTATATGCCAATAAAATGCCATAAAAATCAACAAAATGCCATAAATAAAATATATCGATAAAATACAACAAAACCGGGCCCAATATGGGAGTCCCTGCCCAGCTCTGACTGAGGCAGCACCCTCTTAAGTATTTCCTTGACACCAGAGCATGGCAGCAAGGGTGGAGAGAGGGAGTCCCACCGCCCGAGCTGCCATTACGGGGCCTGGCTGTGGGTGGGAAGACACCGGGCGAGGCAGCGGTGGGTGGGCACCCACTGGCGTCACCCACCCCTGGTCCTTCTGTCATGACAGCTGTGGGGATAGCCTGACCGAGAGCAAGCCTCTTGTCGCCACATGATCCCTTAGGAAAGGGATTGCACAGCCCCCACGGAAGGCTTCGTCTCCCTGTGACTGAGGGCCCAGCTGGGCTTCGTGCTGTGGCCTGACCTGGGCTCCGTCTGCTTGAGGAAGCTGTGAGGACGTGCTTGAGCTAAAGCTATGACAGAGATGAGTAAAAACCACAGGCAAGCACGATCATTGCAATGGAAATAGTCCGCAGCTGAGGGATTCCAGAGGAAGTCTATTGACATCCTTAAACCATAAGAAAAAACCGAAAGCAGATGCTCAGAAGACAGTGGCTCAGCACCTCAGGGAGTCAGTCCTCTGCAAGGAGCAGCACAGGATGCCTCTTCATTTGTACTAGTTATTAATTTTTCCAGCCAGTTTTGTTTATCCTAGTAGTTCTTGTTGTAGATGCTTTTTATCTTGTTTCCTAAGGAGCTGAAACATGTATGCTTGTGCTGCCTGCCATCTTTCTCTGCCTGTCCCTCACCTACCACTCTGGAAGTTGCTGTTCAAGTTCAGGCAAATTTGGTAGGTAAAGTTCCTAGAAGATTTGTGGAAATCAGTGGCTGGACAATATATTGGAGCCCCTACTTAGCAGCTCTGATCCATTCTGAGAGGCAGCAGCCAACTGGCCTATCAGCAAAACCATAGTCATTATAGGAAACGTCTCATTTCTCAGGAAACAACTTGTATTATGCTTCTGTTTTCACTGAGAATGCTTTAGAGCAGTGACCTAACTGACAAAAACTGGTTTGTGTAGGAACTCATGAAGTTAGCTTCCTGAAACACAGATGAATGATTTAATGAATTTGGATCACAGAGAAAATGAGGAGATGCTGAACTATCAACGTTGCTGTCAATTTATAAGGAAATGCATGCTATGGTAAGGGAGCTTGGTAGGATCCTGAAATTATTTTATAATGATGCTGTGGGATTATTTATTTGCTCTGGAGTTGCTGTAGCATAAATGAGTACTGTATTCACTTTGAGCTGGTATGATGGGCTGAAACTGTCAGGGTTCGGGAGCATGTGACATCATGGTATAAGCAAGGGTGAAACTCTCCTGTTGTAGAATGGAAGAAAGAGTTGAGGAAGCAATTAATTCAGCCATCCCAACTTAAATGATCACCAACTGAAGTCAGTCCCCCAAGGTGCACATTTGAGGCTTTAAGTGACTGCTGTGAGTGTACAGCTGAGAGGTACTCCTCCTTTAACAGGTCTCAGTACAAGGGAGAAGTAGACTGAACCACTAAATAGCCTGAATCCTCAGCTGGGCTGGGGAGGGGAGGCAGGAATGAAGTCAAGTCTCAAGCAACATGAGCTTTGGTGTAGCTTTTCAATTGACTAATGTTAATGGAAATTAGTGTTACGGGAATCAGGTTGACTAACATTGAGTGAAGTTAGCAAAACAGAAAATGGATTGTTGAAGATTATTATAGTCTTGCCTTTGAAGTTCCTGGTCCTGTATAATGTTTCCCAGGACTCAAACATCAAGGATGTGAAGAGCAAAATAAATAAAGGGCAGCTGTGACAAATCAAAGAAAGGAAGTTCAAATAACTCCAAAGCTCTATAACTAAGACATAAAACAACGAACCGCGAGATAACGTAACATATGTTATAACAGTGCACATTACCAGTGTCAGGCTGTAGTCATCAGGCAGCATGTTAGGGAGATGACTCTCCAGGTGTGATTTCAATTCAAGTACTTGGGAGCTCTACAGTAAAAATGAGAAAATTGGGCTACATAAAATGGGGTGTTTAAATGTCAGAGAGAGATGTACACACTAGAAACTTCTGTATGTCTTTCAAAGCACAATGTAGGTAGCTGTGAAAATAAAAAGATAATAAAGAACAGATAAAAAACTGGCACAGTGCCAAAGCTGAATACTGTAACACTTTATCAGCCTGGTGATAATTACCCAAGGCCCAGCACAGTGCGATAGGTTGTGCTTCTTTGGAATAACCATGGCATTTTTTTTCAAGCATTCTATCACTTAATCAGGATCCTGTAGTTGTTTGGGAGTAAAGTTCCAGACCATTGGAGGTGAGAAGTTGTCTAAGTATCTGCCCATATTTTCCCACATGCCGTGCCACCGATGACCATCCAGCCTCAGGGCAGATCTCTGGGTGATTTTTTTAAATAGCTTTTTAACCCTAAACAAGACCTGAAACACATTCAGGAGACATAGCAATAGGAGCATGCTGGCTTGAACATCCCAAGGATATTCAAAATTCTCAAGAGCTGTTGTAACTAGCCTGAAGGAGAAAGGGAAGGTGAAGGAGCAGGGGAAAGCGTCCTCCCCTGTCTCCCCCATAGATTGGTTCCCTGAGGAGAAAAGGTAAAGAGTGTCATTATTAATAATTTCCAAGAGATGACACCCAAGGTATGGAGATGACAGCAATACCAAATACAAATACCAAATTAGTCTTTTTACCAGTAATATTACCATATTATAAGCCGGTGTTACACAGTACAGCAAAATAATAATCCTGACCCACCTCCCAGAAGTGATAAACAGCACCGCAGGGAATACATACTGCAAGTAAGGATTTACATAATACAGCCATGTGAACAAATAAAACAACATTGTGACCAGCGACTATTAAACTAATATAATGAATGCTTATAACAAATTTATTTTAGCACACTCTGGTCAGATCTGTCATTATCTCAAACCCTTTGTGCCCCACGTTGGGCGCCAAAAAGGACTGTCATGGTTTAACCCCAGCTGGCAATGAAGCCCCACACAGCCGCTCGCTCACTCCCCCCCGGT